TCTATGCTGATGTATTACACACAGGCTGACAGATTTTTCTGCAGAATGATCAAAAATAGAATTTGAAACACAAATGGCTAAGTTAAACGACTCTCATGTAAAAATTAGTGAAAAGGAAGGTTTTTTTATCATTGATTTGGGTAAGCATGAGTGGGCATTTGTAATCTGGGGTTTAGGGCAGGGCACTGGAAGTCTGAACTCTGAGGTTGATTTTTGTTGTTAAATTACATTAATTCTACATGAATCCTAACAAAGTAAATGGCTAGAAATAGAGAAAATTAAAATGAATCTTTAACAAAAAGGTGCATCTTGTTTATTCTTGGATCCTCTGCTCTATATAGTGTATTGCAAAAACTCAACCTTTTCCAGTGCTCGCTGTATTAACACACTCCTTTCTTCCCCTGTCTAGTGACTGCCTCAGGAAAAGAGATACAGATCCTGCAAAGCCCACCCCAGCTGTGGCTGAAATCTGGGGACACTGCACAGCTGCACTGTAAAACATTAGAAGACGAAGTGACCACAATGTGGTACAAGGAACAGAGTGGAAGTTTACGGTGGATTTACTGGAGTTCTGAGTTTGCATCGCCAGATGGAAAATACTCGAGTGAAGCGAACACTGTGGCAAACACGTTTTCTCTAATTATCAGTAATGTACAAAGAGAGGACTCGGGGATTTATTACTGTGGCCTCTTTTCCTTTATGTATCTACAGCCCAACTTCGGGAATGGGACCAGACTAATTGTCACAGGTGAGTTTCCAATGGCTCAGAACAATGATATCCCAATGCTAGGAGATGTTATGAAAAAAATCACCCTCTTTTTTGGCAAGATAGTGACCGATCCCCCCTGTTTCAGCTCTAAGCTATTGGTATTTGTGCAAAGAGGCAATACGGTCCAGGCAGTAAGCCAGGGCATTGGGTTGGAAATCAGGAGACCTGGGTTATATCCCTTAATCACTGGGCACCGCGGCAAGATTTTCAAAAGAAGTCAGCACCCAATAGCTCCCGTTTAGGTGACCAAAGAAATGACCGGATTTTTAAAATGCTCCAATCCAAACCTAGCTTTTGAAAATCAGGGACATTTTTGAAAATCTGACCTTTAATTTCTTTGCATCTCAGATTCCTCATTTGTATAATGGGGATAATGACTCTCCTGTGTAAAAGCACTTTGAGATCTATGGATAAAAAGCACCATATCAGTGCTATGTGTTAGTACTTCCCTGCCTTCTGGGGTGGGATGTTACATTAGTATTCCGATTTGATATTCATACTTGTGATGATTCCTACTGAAACTGCCTGAGGCTAGGACATGGGGTATGTTCCACCTGCCCTGCTTTCCTTATACGACTTGAATATTACTCAAGTTCTTTTCCAGCATTCACCAAACTTTATTATATGATTGCACCCACCTGTTCATACAGGGGAATATTCATTGTCTCATTAGCACAGCATGAATTGCACAGAATAATGCAATTACAACTAATAATATCTATATATTTTTGATCCACACTATGTGCAAATAGCCCAAAGCGTGCACATAACAAGGAAGGCAAGGAATTATTACAGGCAACAGAGGCTGTAAGTCACACTAATGGGATGAACGTAATAGGAAAGTTTAGCCTGACTGGTTTCAGAGTAGCCGTGTTAGTCTGTATCCGAAAAAAGAACAGGAGTACTTGTGGCACCTTAGAGACTAACAAATTTATTAGAGCATAAGCTTTCGTGGACTACAGCCCACTTCTTCGGATGCATATAGAGTGGAACATATATTGAGGAGAAATATATACACACACACACATACAGAGAGCATGAACAGGTGGGAATTGTCTTACCAACTCTGAGAGGCCAATTAAGTAAGAGAAAAAAACTTTTGAAGTGATAATCAAGATATCTCCCACCTGTTCATGCTCTCTGTATGTGTGTGTGTGTATATATATCTCCTCAATATATGTTCCACTCTATATGCATCCGAAGAAGTGGGCTGTAGCCCACGAAAGCTTATGCTCTAATAAATTTGTTAGTCTCTAAGGTGCCACAAGTACTCCTGTTCTTTTAGCCTGACTGTTATGTCTAAGTAAGAATGGTTCCTCTATCAGGCTTTTCACAGCTAGATCGCAAAACACCTTGCAAAGGTGACTAAGTGTCGTTTAGCTAAGTTTACAGTTGGGGAAACTGAGGCAGTGAGTCGGGAAGTGAACTCATCTCCAAGGTCACACAGCAAGTCAGAGACGGAGCTGGAAAGGGATCTCAGGCCTCCTGACTCCCAGTCCGGTGTCCTTACCACCCGACTGACCAGCTCTTCCTTTGAATTCCATACTGAACCGAACACGCTGTCGGCACTCAGTAAATAATCTACAAAGATCATATCAGGACAAACTTCCGAGCAGCGACGGATCAGTGGCGTCTCCCAACGTGGATGTCCCAGAGTGTAAGACATTGAAAAGTGGAACAGACAAAGCATTAGACATTTAAAACATTCTGCACTGGCTGGGGCAGGGGCAGGAGCTGGCTAGGGACTAGCTGAGCTACCGCTAACAGGTCTTTCTGATCTCTGTTTTCGGTGACTCAACTCTCTTTTAGATGCCGCCGAGCCGAGACTTTCCATCCTGGTGCCCTCCACCCCGGAGGATGCTGAGCTTCCCCCCGTCATTCCTCTGCTCTGCCTGCTCTCGGATTTCACTCCTCCCTGGAGTGCTGTTCTCTGGGACACTGGTGAGCAGATGTCTGAGGGTCAGACAGATGATGGAGCCATAGACGGGAACGGGGTCTTTAGTGTTTGGAGCCTAATGACAATCCCTTCTGAGACGTGGAACCAGAAGACGATCTGCACTTGTACAGCCAAGGAGAGCAGCACGGGGAGAAGCATCAGTGCTACAGTCTCCAAGGAAACAGGTCCAGTATCGTATCACCCAATCTAACCTGCCTACCTGGGTATTTATCCTACGCCCCTCACCATGGTATCTGGGCACCAAGAGTCAGCGACATCTAGTCCAGGTTGGAGGAATAGACAGAATCAGTCGGGATGGCTCAGGGGAATGATAACTAATGGGAGTGAGGAGAGGTTTTGGAAACCACTGAGAGGTTGCTTGAGCTGTGGGGCGAGTTACAGTCGCTTCCCCCGTCACCCACCTTTCCCACCCCCAGCCCTTCTGAAAACCTTCATTTTTCAATGCTCAGTGGTGAGAAATGGGTTTCTGGTTTAGCTGTCAAGTGATTACAAAAATTAATCGCAATTAAATGCGCAATTAAAAAAATTAATCATGATTAATTGTGTTGCTAAACAATAATAGAACATCATTTATTTAAATGTTTTTGGATGTTTTCTACATTTTCAAATATATTGATTTCAATTACAGCACAGACTGTAAAGTGTACAGTGCTCACTTCATGTTTATTTTTGATTACAAATATCTGCACTGTAAAAAAACCAAAAGAAACAGGATATTTCAATTCCCCTAATACAAGTACTGTAGCGCAATCTCTTTATCATGAAAGTTGAATTTACAAATGTAGAATTATGTACAAAAAATAACTCTATTCAAAAACCAAACAATGTAAAACTTTAGAGCCTACAAGCCCACTCAGTCCTATTTCTTGTTCAGTCAATCGTCCAGACAAACAAGTTTGTTTACATTTACAGGAGATAATGTGGCCGTTATCAAGCAGAACCCGCATCAGCATGGACGCATGTCCTCAGGAATTATGGTTGAAGCATGAAGGGACATATGAATCTGGGACATAAATATCTTGCAACGCCAGCTACAGCAGCGCCATGCGAACGCCTGTTCTCACTTTCAGGTGACATTGTAAACAAAAAACGGACCACATTATTTCCTGTAAATGTAAACAAACTTGTTTGTCTTAGCAATTGGCTGAACAAGAAGTAGGACTGAGTGGACTTGTAGGCTCTAAAGTTTTACATTGTTTTGTTTTTGAGTACAGTTATTTAACAAAAAAATTCTACATTTGCAAGTTGCACTTTCACAATAAAGAGATTGCACTACAGTACTTGTATGAGATGAATTGAAAAATACTGTTTCTTTGATCATTTTTACACTGCAAATATTTGTAATAAAAATAATAATATAAAGTGAGCATTGTACACTTTGTATTGAGTTGTAATTGAAATTAATATATTTGAAAATATAGAAAAAATATTTAAAAATATGTAATACATTCCAATTGGTATTCTATTGTTTAACCGTGCAATTAAAACTGCAATTAATCGCGATTCATTTTTTAATTGGAATTGTTTTGAGTTAATCGCGTGAGTAAATTGTGATGAATCAACAGCCCTAGTTTCTGGTCAAGTAGCCAGAGCTTTTCCCTCCATGTGATCACAGCAAGGACACAGACGGTTCACATGGGGTGAGCCAAAGGGGAATAATTAGGAGCATCAGGACAGAAATCAACAAAGGAAACAGTAGCATGAATGTCAGGAATTGCTTCCTGACAGCGAGAACTAACAAGTAATGGAACAGATGCCCAGGGGGCAGGGCAGGAAGCCCCAGTGAACAGGACTGGACAAAGCACTAGTGAATATAACATAGGGAACAATCCTGGAGTGGCCAGGGGGGAGCTGGAGGGCACCCAATGTAACAGGGTCTCATGCTGACACGGCTATGCCGGTAAAAGCCTTAGTGTGGACACAGTTATACCGGGATAAAGGTGCCTTACACCAGCACAGCTTATTTCTGTCCTGAGCCAGGAGGAGTTATGCCAGAAACGTTACAGTGGCAAAGCTTTTAAGTGCAGTCGAGCCCTTCACCAACCAAACAAATTCCAGGTGACACAGACGGGTGTGTCCAGCCTGCCGAATGGCCATTTCATTTCCTAACTGCCTCGGCATTTGCCACAAACTTGGAATCTGACTAGGAAGCTCAAAGAGCCACCCATTAGAGCAATTATTGAGGGAGGAAGGGAGAGAAGAGAAACACAATACCCCTGGCAAATCATTTTGCACAGCCCCTGTCCCCCGTCCTTTCACATCCCACGGCCTCCGCATACAGGAGGGCAGCATGCTACAGAACACAGAGTAATGGGTGTGGAGCGTTGGGGAAAGGACCTCCCTTTGCCCATGATCTTATCTGGGAGGTACAGATCAGGGGCCCTTCTGTTTTGATGGGAGTTTTCTATACTCTGCAGAGAGAAGGGACGCTGGAGACTGTGAGATTGTGCTCTACGCTGGGCTGTCCTGTATTTTCATCCTTCTCTTCATCCAGTTGTTGATCTTGCTCTGGAGAAAGTGCCCCATCAGAGGTAACTCAGTCATAACTCTGTCTGCAGACATGCAGCCACTCATCACTCATCCCTATAATTGTCCCTTTGTCTGTTTCATCCACCAGGGAGAGCTGTGCGAAGAGGGAATCCAATACCTATGAGGCAGATCCCACAGGTAAACTGTTTTATTTAGCTTTTGGCACATCAGAAAGATACAGTGTATTAAAAACAGGGGCCTAGAGTCAGTCTCCTGGCCAATTTCCTACCCTAGCATCTACACATTGCCTCCTGAAGTCACATTTGAATTTATTCTTCTCCGCCCCACTAGTGGAAGTGTTGTGTAGGTTTATTGGTAAGGAACAACTGCTGGGTTCCACCCCAGAGGTGGCTGCAGGTCAGGGATGGTGAAATAGTGCAGCGTATATTTCTGTAAAGGATCACCAGATCATCTAGTGTGACCTCATGTGTATCACAAGCCACCAACACCACCCAGCCACTACACACTAAACCCAGCACCCAGGACAAAAGACAACAACCGAGGACAGAAGAGAAATCTGCACTACTGAAATATGTTCTTCACATTCTTACAACACAAAAGCCAATCAGCTGATTCCCTTTAAACTTTCCAAATAAAATTCTTTGTTGGGATAAGCTGGGCATGAAACAATCCAGGCCGGTGAGGAATTTCGGTGAGGAAGTCAGAAGGATTTGGAATGGAAATTGGGACTTAATGAGAGGGGATCAAATCCTTAGGACACCAAAACAATCCCAGTGCCACCATATGCACTGAGGTGACAGAGATGAGAATGTGGCCCAGGGTTGCTGACATGATCCTAGTCTGTAAAACACCCTGTCTAGTTACGTAGTGTTGTTGGAGCCAGGTTGGTCCCAGGATATCAGAGAGAGAAGGTGGGTGAGGTAATATCTTTTATTGAACCAACTTCTGTTGGTAAGAGAGACGGACAATCTTTTCAGCTTACACAGAAAGCTTCTCTCTTTCACCAACAGAAGTTGGTCCAATAAAAGGTATTACCTCACCCACCTTGTTTGGCCAGGGCCGGCTCCAGGGTTTTGGCCGCCCCAAGCAGCCAAAAAAAACCAAAAACCTGCGATCGCAATCGCGATCTGCGGTGGCAATATGACGGGAGGTCCTTCGCTCCGAGCAGGAGTGAGGGACCGTCCGCCGAATTGCTGCTGAATAGCTGGACCTGCCGCCCCTCTCCGGAGAGGCCGCCCCAAGCACCTGCCAGCCAAGCTGGTGCCTGGAGCCGGCCCTGTGTCTGGCTATGGCATTCTGGAAGGACAGTTAATTAAATGCATGAGACGATAGATTCTCATTAAGCATATTACCGTACAGGAGCCAGTGTGGGCTAGCAGAGGGTACTGGACTGGGAGTCAGGATTTTTTTTTCCTGGTTCAACCACTGACCTGCTGGGCAACTTTGGCCAAGTCACTTTAGCTCACGGTGCTTCTGTTTCCCCTCCCCCCACTTTGTAACCTTCTGTATCTTGACAATAAACCCTTTGGGGTAGGGACGTGTGTGGAGAGCTCAGCACACTGGGGCCTCGGTCTCCATTCGGGCTCCTAAGCAGGGCCGGCTTTAGGAAGTGCGGGGCCCGATTCGAACAGTTTCGACGGGGCCCCGACAGGGATGACTAAAAAAAAAAAAACCAACGTTAAAAAAAACACGGGGGGCTTGTACTCACCAGGCCGCGCTCCTAGTCTTTGGCGGCGGGTCCTTCACTCGCTCCAGGTCTTCGGCAGCACGGAAGGACCTGCCGCCAGAGTGCCGCCAAAGACCCGGAGCGAGTGAAGGACCCGCTGCCAAAGACCTGGAGCGCCGCCGGGTGAGTAAAAATTAAAAAGGTGCCTCTAGCCAGGGAAGGGATTCTCTGCCACTTGCCCCCCACTCTGGGCGACCCTGCCACTGGGCGCGGGGCCCTCTTAAGCACAGGGCCCGATTCGGGGGAATTGGTGGAATTGGCCTAAAGCCGGCCCTGCTCCTAAGTGCTGCTCTAATACAAAGAATTAATAATTCTATTGGCTTTTTCCTTGTTCTATTTCAGACTGAATATGCGAGTCTGCCGTACAACAACAGCAATGCTCCTCGGTGACTGATGTAGTCTCACAAAAGTGGTTTATATTTTGTAATTAAGAGAAAAAAGAATGAAAGAGAAACCGAGAGAAATACAGAAAGTCTCATGTTTCTAATGTGCTATGATGTGATGTGAGTTTCCTTGAAATACAACCACTTCCAGGCTCACTTTTCTGAACCCATATTCTGGGCTGACATCTCCATTCTTGCAAAAAAGCCACATGGGATCATTAGCGATTTGCCTGGAGGTTCATGGGGCATTGGGTTTACATCTCATCTCAAACATGTCACTTCCCCCACTGTAGCGCCTTGTCACAGGGTTCACTCACCCCTAGGGTTCCTGCTCCTGGCTGTTCATGGGATTAGCTACTTCTGGCTCCGATGCCCCCTTCTGTCATCTCGTTCTTGCCGCAGCTCCACGCGCTTTCTGGGACTCTGCCCATCTCCTCTTCCTGGCGTGGCTGCTCCCTCGTCAGGCCTTGGCCCTCTGGCCAGGTCACTGGGTGTTTTCCCCCTGCCAGGGTATCAAAGTGCCACAGAACAAGTTGTCTCAGGCAGTCTCCAAGGCCACTGCCCTGACTATGACACTTCCCCTATGGCTGGTAGGGGAACCCGGGCCAGTCCTCTACTCCTGGTTCCAGCTCAGGGACCCTCAAATCAACAGGCAAAGCCTGCAACCTTCAACTTTGTTGGGTCTTCCCTTAGCCTTTTCCATCTTTGTCTCTGTTGTTGCACCACCCTCCTTGGTAAATCCTTGCTTCAGGGTTTGGATGCCCAGGGCTGGGCTCTTCTGAGAAATGGGTTTTAGGGGGTAATTTATCTCCCTGTTGCCTCAGTAATTTATCCAACACTGCACCTTACTTCTTGACAACATGATAGTGAACAGTAATTTGGGACCAGATTCTCAGCTGGTGTAAATCAGCATCGCTCCACTGATGCCAATGAACTGACGCTGATTTACCCTAGATGAGGATCTGGCCCTTGGAGGTCTTTAAGGGAATCCTGAACGCTCACAGTGCGGCTCGCTTGAGAAACGAGACCAGGAAATCCTGTGGCTGAATTTCTAGAACAGCTCAAGCTGCCTCCAAACTGGGCTGTTTCTGATCCCGCATTTTAGTACACCCCAACTTCCCATTGATTTGAGTGGAATAGTACTGGATGCACCAGGAACACAGGGTCTGGCCTTGTTAGCCCAGAGTTTGAGGGGCGGTAAGGGGCATCCTGGGTGTACTGCAAACACTTCATGCAGCACAATATACCACAATGAATCCCCTGATTGGGGGGGCTTTGATATTTGTATATGTGGTTTAGCTCCTCATTCATAATAATAATTCTAAACTCATCATGAGCAGATCCCAATGAGCTTTACAAAGGAAGTCAATAATGCTGTACCCATTTTACAGATGGGGAAACTAAGGCACAGAGCGGCATAATGAATTACCCAAGATTGCCCAGCAGCAGTGCTGAGAATAGAACCCAAGTCACCAACCAGTGCTCTATCTACTAAGCCAAGCTGCATAATGGATATTTAGTAACTGATATAATTTCTCAAAATCTCTGGTTTGTGCCCCAACATTTAGTTTGTTTCACACCGCTGACCGGTAAATTCCAGTTTTTGCAGTTATTTCATGGACTGTTCTGCTTCAATTTTGCTCTAACCAGCCACTAGCTACAGATGAATCGGGGGGAGCAATTTACACGTCCTTGGTAACTAAAAGCAGGGAGAGAGAACTGAAAAAGCAAACAGCCCAAGCGCTGTGCTAGCTGAACAAACAAAAGCCAAGTGGCAAAAGACGTGGGCTGAAACTGACCACAGCAGCAAGTGCAACTTTCCGAGCAGCCAGTTCTGATCTATTTTAAAACGATTGGCCCTTTGCAGCAAACACGGCTGTTTGTCCTGTCGCCTGGTGTTTTTTAAGATTGGTTTCCATTTGTTTTCATCAAACATAATGTAGAAATGAAATCAATTCAAACCATGACAGTCACTTTGTCTTCGTCTTGGCTTTTAATAGACGTGTACAGGAGAAGATCAAGTGTAAAAATAAGTGTATCAGTTAAGTGTGGCTGGGGGAAATAGTCTTAGGGCAAATTTTCAAATATGTCCAAGTGACTTAGGTGCCTAACTCCCTTTGATTTTCAGAATCTCCCTAGGTGCCTAGCTGCATCTTTAAGCACCTAAATACCTTGAAATCTGGTACTTATGAGCCTAGATACCATTGAAAGTCAGTGTCCATACTGCAGACCTTACAGCCTGCCCTCCTGCCGACAAAATATAACCATCCCAAACGAGGCGGTGTAGCTTTGTGGGCGGGAGAGCGTCTCCTGCTGACAAAGCACTGTCCACACCGGGGGTTTTGTCGGTAAAACTTTTGTCGGTCAGGGGTGTGTTTTTTTCACACCCTGGCGGACAAGAGTTTTGCTGACGAAAGTGCAGGATAGACACAGCCCTAGACTACCAAGTACCTCAACCACTTTTGAAAATGAGACTTAGACTCCTAAGTAATTTTTGTACTTGTTTCCCAATGTGGCTAGATCTATGTTGTAACTAGAACCACAATTTTATCATGGCAATTGTTAATACATTTTAGGCAGAGGTACAGGACAATGATCATAAAAAAGGGAGGGAGCCGGGTGTGCGGGGGTGGTGGGGTTGGAGATTGAGACCCCCTGCAATGGCATCTCCTGTGCCTGGAGGCTGGGCCCGGCTCAGGGCATTGCGATCTGACCCAAAGCTCTGTTAATCTAGCTCTGTACTTATTTATCCTCACCACCCCACTGCAAAGTCGGGAGGAATTAGCCCCATTTTACAGCTGGGGAATGGAGGCCCAGAGAGACTTGGGGTAACATTTTCAAAAGCATCTTAAGTGTCTTGAGAGGCAGAGTCCCACTTTCAACAGGGACTAAGGCTTGAAAGTCACTGGGATGTAAATGACCAGCCCTCGGTCACACATGGAGCCTGTGGCAGGCAGAGCAGGGGTTTGAATGGAGGATCCCTGAGTGCCTAGCTAGCACCTTGACAACCGCACCGGCCTTCCTCTCTAGAGTGACCAGATGTCCAGATTTTATAGGGACAGTCCCGATTTTTGGGTCTTTTTCTTATATAGGCTCCTATTACCCCCCATCCTGTGTCACGATTTTTCACATTTGCTCTCTGGTCACCGTATTCCTCTCTATGATTCTAAGCATGTGCTTAATTCCCAGTGAACTAATTAGGTCATTTGAGGTGTTTGCACCACATCCAACTTTCCCTGCAGCTAGTATCAATGAGAGAAGGGTTAGACCCTGGTCTCCACTCTGGTCCCTTTTGCTGCCCTCTTGACACAAAGGAAGCAGGGACTGGCTGCACATGCCAGGGGGTGTTAGGGCAGCAGATCCAGCCCTTGCAGTCAGCAGCCCTGGTCATGTGATGTGGCTGAAACATGCTGCACTTGGGGTATCCCCAGCTGGCAAACTGATCCTTGGGAGTCATAACCAGCTGGTGCAGATTAGAGCAGCCTCCAGGCTAAGGTTGTGAAAGGACAATTTGGATGCCCAGTTGATCTGGGCAGCCAAATCCCTGTTGGAACTTTGCAAATCTCAGCCTTGATGTTCAAGTAGAGAGGATCCTCAGAGATGACCATATTCCAGACTGCGTGGGTGACAACTGTTTCGAAGGGATGGATTTGGAATCTTAGAGGGCATTTCACTTTGTTCTCGCTATAAACATTTTGTACATTGTACTGAGGAACATGCATTAAGCATATATCTGAAATATGTATTGTTAAAGTAGGTTTTGCCCCAAATTTTTATAAAAGCTAAGCTGTATATTTGCTAATTTCACGACTTCCATGGTGCCCAATGAACCTCCATCCTTTGCTTAAATCGTGTGATATACCTCTTGGTGACTGTTACGTTCACAGCATACAAATAGAGAAGTTAAGCAAAAAACATCATCAAATACTCTCGCTGGAAGGCTGCAAACTAACACGACTTTTATTCTTAGAACCCAGAACAATAACAAAAAATAACAAAAACCAGAGAGAGACAAAGCAGGCTGCTCATTAATAGAGCGACACACAACTCACCCCACCTTGTTCCAGGCTGGCTCTTTCCAGACTGACTGCTGCTAGGCCCAGATTGAACGCTTCCTTACGGACAGCAAGCAGGACCAGGAAAAAACCCTGAAAATTAAAGTGATAAATCACAATTTTAACAGTTTTCATAAACCACAATGAGAGAGTTTATTGCCATTTTATGGATGCTAATACCATCTGACCTTACAAATCTCTGAAGTGCAGAAAATGTTCTACCTGGATTGCAGTCAGAAGAATGTCTTGTTATGGGCATCCAATTATAACACAAATATTCCATCTGAGACACACACCATGCTGATACCCAGTCTGAGCTGTTTAGAGGCAAAGGAATTTTTTCCCCTCAGCTTTGCTCTGCTGGCATTAAGAGTAAGATTTTGAATAGGGTTATCGATATGTCTTGGCCCTCTTCTTTTATCATGCATGTTTCCCCACAGATCTTTAAGAGGAAACAGAACATTTTCCTCCCCACGTGATAAAGTCTTTCATCAAGAGATCCATTAGCTGACAGGCGTCTCTCTCTCACACTGCATCATCTATTCATTACTGAAGAAAGGCACAAGATGTCCCACCACATAGTTGGGGTGATTCTAGTCTGTCTTCACAGTAAGTATTTTAGCCTGATTTATTTCGTTCTTATTTTCCACCATGCTAAAAACAATTAACTTTCTGCACAAGGACCTTCTGCAATTCCAAAAGGTGCTAATATCAACCTGGTGAGAGAGAAATTCACCTCTTTTTTCCATCAATTGAAATCTTAAGAGAGGTGATGAAATATTTTATATTAAAACAACCTGAATGCCAGAGACAAACACCTTGAAAACAGTTTCTGGTTAATATCCTGGAAAATCTACTTTTCCTTCATGCTGATGTATTTTTCTGCAGATCAAAAATAATTTGACATACAAGTTGCTAAGTTAATAAAAGACTCTCCCATGTACAATTTAGTAAAAAGTTTGTTACCATTGATTTGGGTAAACTTGAGTGGGAATGTGTAGCCTGGTAATTAGGACAGGGAACTAGAAGTCTGTACCCATTGGTTCTAAACTCTGATGTTGTTCTTACATTACATTAATTCCCGCACCGGCTACACGAATCCTAAAAAAAAAAATTGGCTAGAAAAAGAGAAAAATTAAAACGAATCTTTAACAAAGGACATTTTGTTATTCTTCGATCGCCTGCTCTGTATAGTATATTGCAAAAGCGGAACCTTTTCCAGTGCTCACTGTATTAACATACTCCTTTGTTCCCCTGTATAGTGGCTGCCTCAGACGA